CTCTCTCTCTCTCTCTGCTCTCTGATTGATTCCTTTCCTTCTTCTTCCCTCGCGGATATCCGCACGGAGAGAACGCTTTTGCAAATCTAAAAATTTGCTCAGATACACTTTTAATCTTGCATTTCATAATATCTCTAAATTTAAGGTACTTTTTTGAAAAAACAAAAAAAAAGTAAAATAAAATAAAATAAGAGATGTCAGGACCAGGACATAGGAGTTAGGCACAGTAAGAGTGCGAATAAATTTTCCAATGACTTTAATCAAAAGTTATTTCTAAACGTTTCGACATCTTCAGTAGAGAAAAAAAAATAAAGGTTAAAAATTTAAAGGTATGCGATATAAGATTAAAGATGTACAGATCTGAAAATAATTTAGTTGAATCAAAATGATTATGCGGGTTAACCCTCAGTTCCTATCCCCGAGGATTTATTACTCCAGATAAAATTCTCAAGTCTGCTATTCTCGAATGTAATCTTTTTCTTACAAGCAAATATTTATTATAAACTATCTTTTCATATTTTTCTATGCACAGGCGAGTTCTTTGATGTCTGGCATTTGATGGAAAAGAATGTGAAAAATATAAAAATATAAAAAAGTATAAAAACAGTTGATTTTATGATACACCTCAGTGTGGGAAGTCCGTGACAACTTGAAAAGTGTGGGAAACCTGGAGTTAAACGTGATAATATAACATTGCAAAAACTTTTAATTTTCTAGCCATCAGTTTGAACGTCGTACATAATAGTTTTGAAGGCTCGACGAAATTAATTTTAGATCTGTATCTGGCCAAATTTTTAGACTTGCCAATAAAGCTGTTCTTCCGATTCTCTTAGACGGTGTCCGTCCATTTATTTTCTTTTCCCTAATATGCCAATGGCATATGTTCTTAGGCGGTCGTCCATTCGATCGTGCCCAACCGCTTCGGTTTGGCTTCGGTGATCGAACGAGAATCGATGTATACCCGACGCGACGTGGCCATTGGCCTCTGATAACGCTTCACGACATCTCGGACGATGTCCCATCGGCGACGGCATGGGATTTAAAAATACCAATAATGGATCTCCACCTCTCGTCCAGAGATATCGAAAAAAAAAAAAAAAAAAAAAAAAACAATCTGTATAAAGTAAAGTTCGATATAAAATTCGCGCAGCTCTGAGTGTAAAATAAAATTTGTTGAAAAAAATTGGTTGAGGCTTTATCGAAATGGTACGTCTAAAAGCGTCTGCGTGCGTCATAACGATAAGTTTAATAGAGGTTGCTAAATCGAGTTCGCGAGAGACGAAGATACTCGCAGTCGAAAACGCGAAAGTTCATCATACGCGAAAGTTAAACCGGTTGATCGATTCTCCGGTCTCGCGGTTGACGCGAGACCCTTTTAGGTTTTGTCCGATGAGAGAAATGCGATATCCGTCGAAGTAATGAAATTCGAGGGAAAATGTTTTTACGCGATTTCGTGAGCCAATGAAGACGCTAGTCGATCGATATTCATTTTCAAGCGTGAAAGAAAGTTAAAGGTCTCGAAGAAGTGTACAATTCAACGTATCTCGAGAAGATAAAACTTTCCGTCTTCAACTCGTTCTCACGCAAAATCACACTCTGAGCAAAAGTTTTCCAGAGCTGTGTAATACGCAATCTTCAAGTTTCTCTCTCTCTCTCTCTCTTTTTTTTTTTTTTTACTTGATACACGCGGTTAAAATACGATTTCGAAATCAATTTCTCGATTGAGAATGAGATGCGGTCAAAGACTGACGCAAAATTACAGGATGTACCTTCTTAATTTTCTTGTTTTGTCGACCGTTACGCTATGCCTTTTGCTCCGCAAACGAGGACGACTCGTCAGGTTCGCGAGATCGAATTGATAACTGACTCGAACGCATCGCGATCGTATCGGAATGTGAAGGGAGCGCATCCCTTCGTTAACCCTTTTGCTGTGAACGTCGTATACATAATTCATGAAAAAGTAATCTCAAAAATGTTATAATTTCTTTCACACGATATTTTTTTCCAATTTTAATAGTAAAATAGTAAAAAAAAATAAAAATAAAACGTTTCTATTAATTCTGATGCGTTGAAATTTTCAACGAATGTATTTACCTTTTTTCCATATGTATAAAATATATTTTATTTTTACATCTTTTTATATCTTTTTTATATCTTTTTATATCTTTCGTGAAAAAATTGGACATATTCTTTTATATAGAAAAAAATTAGTTTTAAATCAAGAAAAATATTCTCATAATAGAAAAAATATTATAATCTTCTTAAAAATTTTAGTTTTGATTTAATTGAATTTGTATTGTATTACTTTTGCTCAATTTAAGATTAAAAATCTTCTATATGAAAATTATGATATTCTTGCTCACATATGAGAATATCTATATTAGATCAACATTAAATTTTTTAATCTAAGATTATAATATTCTTGCTTGAGAATTTTTTTCTTGATTTAAGATTTCTTTTCTGTGTAAAAATGTATGTGGTTCTAAAGATCTCGGTATTTGTATTTTTATCTTGTTTTCAAGAGCGCTGCGGCGAAAGGGTTAAAAGCGAATTGCGGAACGACAGCCTTCAACGTTTCTCACTCCGTTTCGATGGGAAGGGCCAGAAAGTGGCCGATGCGGCGCTTTCGCGAACGCGCGCGATTACGACAGGCAGTGCAATATTTTGCACGCGAGCACACGCAGTCGATCGGCACGAGTCGCTGCCCGTTCTTTTTAACCGCAATGCGTTGTATTTCCCATATTCGGAATAAAGCGGAATGAAACGAACGCGATTCGTGTCCACGGATTGAAACTTCTATCGAAAAAAAGGAAGGGAGAAGAACGCGGGAAGTCATGCATATTTTAGATTTGAATTAGAGATACGAGAATGAAGTGAGAACGACTGATTAATTAGCATTACATCTGACATTTACATCTTGAGTGTGAAGAATGTTTTTTTTTTTCCCCACTAGAGATCGTGACTTCCGAGCGAGGGCACGCTTGTGAATTGCCACGTGAACGCACTTGTTCTGTCCGATGATGGACGATGTGGCACTCGAGACGACGTTGCGATTAATTTGGTTGTACACGGAAAAAAAACAAAAAAAAAAAAACAAACAAAAACGGTTTTGCTGAAATATCTAAAAATTTGATCAGACAGATTTGGAAAATAATCTTGTTGAGCTATCAAAATTATTACGTAGGACGTATGTATAATGATAAAAATATCGTAGCAATCATTTTAAATATAAATCTATAATTATGTTGATGGGTCAATAAAAATTATTTTCAGATTTGTATCTTGCCAAATGTTTAGATAATTCAGCACAACTTTTTCAGCACTGTTCTTCCTGTGTAAAGTACGCGGCTAAGATTGTCGCATGAAAAAACATACATTTCAAGTTAAAAATAAACAAATTAAACAAGAGCTCGTGTTATGCTCAGCAATATAATAAAACGACCAGAAAACGAGCAAAAAGGTATTATGTTTCAAAAAAATAGATGCTGAATTTTTTAGAAGATATTTTAATGGCGAATTTATTTGGCGAATGTTGCAATCCATGAGACCTTATATCTCTTTTTTCAGCGCTCGCATTGTTTCTCTTCGGATCGCACGGTCGTCGAGATTGCCCTTTACGACGGGATTGCAGTCTTCTTTTTCTTGAAAAGGAGCCTGTGCCTCCTTTCCCCCCCCCCCTCCTTTTTTCAATGAGACCACGATGTTCCACCCGACGTGTCGGCCGGATTTGCGTCATAAGCAGATTCAGGCGCACACGGTGGACTAATCGGAGAAATAATCGATGAGCAACAAGCATTGTGGCGAGAGAGCGTGCGTAATGGTACGTTGTGCGTGATTATGCCACGGGTCAACGCGGGACAAACTTAAGTAAACGCTTTGAAAAAGATTATCTGGAAGATGTACAGGCGGAACAATGCCGATGCCGCCGATGTTTCTCTCGCCCGGTGGCTATCACAAAATGAAAAACACACATATGTGAGATAAAACGCGCCGGCTATCGCCGGCTATCGACGGTGTCGCGAAAAAGTTTCAGGTTTCACGAAGAGGCCTCTTTGCGAAGAGCAAACGTCTCTTCTGCCGAGTGGTAGTCGTAAATATTGTTTGCGCCACGCCAAAGTGACTCCCTCGCGCGCCTTTGCAAAACTATTTTTTTTCTCACGCCGCGATAAACAAACCCGCGAGCGCGGGTGTTCGGGAAAATTTTCAGTATAACAGTACTCTATGATTTTATAGCCGGGTAGACTTTATTTGCTCTCCGGTATAACACACTCGGTGAACTATTTTTAAGCTGCTTATTTACGCAAACTTCCACCGCGCGCGCGCACATTTACCGTTCTGAAAGCATATACACACACACACACACACACACACACACACACACACACACACACACACACACACACACACACACACACACACACTACTCTCTCTCTCTCTCTCTCTCTCTCTCTCTCTCTCTCTCTCTCTCTCTCTCTCTCCCCTCTCCTTCTCGTTTTCTCTCTTTCTTGATTTCGCAGGCTTTCTAAATTACCGAATTCCGCGTTGTCGGAGGACCGAGAGAGCGCGGTGGCACGCTAATCGGCGACTCAATCTATTTGGCGATTAACGTGGCGAAACGTCACTTACCCCGTGTGGCTGCCTGACGAAGCCCCGGTGGTTATTTCGGTCGTCAGCCATTGCACCTTGTCCTGAAACCGGTCAATACAACGAGATTAAAAAAAAAAAACAAATCGCAAGAATAAGCTCGATAGAGAAATAAAATCAATTTCCAATTATTACAAAAATGTCAAATTGTTACGTCGCTTGATATAATCGTTCCACTTTTCTTGAAGAAGATCGATCAATTTTATTAAATTCCTCGAGCGGATTAAATGAGATATGACAGAAAAGTTTTCTCGGGCTTTTCCGGGCAATTTTTGAATTCGAGGTTCTCCATTAACGATTCTCTCCATTAAATCGCGTCTACTCTGACCTCGCACGATCAGGATTCGTCGCTAGAGCGGCTCTTGAATGACATCTTGGCATCCACAGAATTAACGTCATTAAGCGAATTGACGTGGTTTTCACGCGAGAAACGAAAGGTATCGCGCGCGGGCGCG